CTGCCCCAGCCTCTCCCAGCCCTAGAGCACAGGCCCTGGTCCCTTCTGCTCGGTCACTGTCCCTGCCCAGCATGGGCAGCACGCCTGCTTACAAGGTGGGCTCCCGCGCCCCCTCTGGGGGGTGCTGAGCACCCCAGGAGGTAGAAGAGTGTTTCAACACTCAGACACATCCTGGTGCTCGTGCCCTGTTACAGGCATTTGGGAGGCACCCCGTAAGGGTCATGGCTGGGGGAAAGGACCCAGGACCACCCCGGCTTTGTCAGAGGAGGGAGCTGGAGCTGAGAATGCCCTGAGGACAAACATGTCCTGACCTCCCCTTTGCGCCAGACCCTGTGCTGCAGACACATGGGGGAGGGGAAGGGACACCTAAGACTGTCCCTGGCCTCGGGGGCTTCTTATCTGATGGAGAGACAGAGAAGTGGGCAGGCGGTGACGTCACAGTGTGGTCAGTGGGACAGAGGAGCCACAGAAGGGCAGAGAGGGCTTCCTAGAGGGGGTGATGCTCTGGCCGAGGCCAGGGAGCAAGCAGGAATAAACTAGGGGCAGATAGCAGGAAGGGCATTCCAGACAGAGGGAACAGCACGTGCAAAGCCGGGGCCGGGGAGCTGCGCTTGCTCTGTTTAGCAGGGAAAGGCAGGGACTGGGCTGTGAAGGACAGCCCACCGTGCTCGGGCCTCGTCCCAGGGGCGGTAGGGACCCATGGCAGGATTTTGAGCAGGGACAACAGGATCCAATCAGTGCTTAGGTAGAAAAAGACTTCTGAGCCCAGGATGCTTCCAGAATGTGCAGACCGAAGGCCTCAGGGTGACAAGCAGGTGGGAAGGGCATCTGAGCAGATTTTATAGCCCTTCCCACAGTCATGGGACTTGTGAGTGTCCAGATGAAGGGAGAAAGGGGGAATAAAGCCCCCCACCTCATACCTTGGGTGCTGCCGCATGTAGAAAGGCCGCTCAGAGGGCTGTGGCCCAGCTGGCGAAGACCCAGAAAGGGGCTGCAGGGGATGGGAGGATGGTGAGAGCTCAGGGCGTGCGGGGGGTGAGCAGGCTAGGAGGGCTGTCGGTTCCTCACAAGCCCGCCACGGATACCGACACAGCCCCCATCTGAGCAGCGACAGCCACCCCAGGATCCAGCCTGGGAAAGACCGGGGAAGCCGTCGGGATGGGGAAGGAAGCCTGGGGGCCAGGACTGCTTGCAGACTGGGCTCCGGGCCACAGAGCCCCTCCTGCAAGAACTGCACTGGGAGTCTCTAAGGCCCCGAGGGCCAAGCCCAGGGCTGAAAGCTCCACTCACCATTTCCCTTGGTTGGGTGAGTCCCCACTTTTGTCCACTCTTTGCCCAAGGACTTTTGCACTTGGCAGAACCCACTTTCCTGGCCCTCAAGATAAAGTGCAGACTCCCCCAGTGAGCCCTTCACACGTCAGGCCCTGAGGATGTCCAGCCTTATCTCAACACCCCCCTCAGACCCTGGGCTCGCTGCAGTTACAGAATTGGAGCACAGGTGATGCAGCCCTATTCCCACCTGACCTGGGGAGGAGGTGGCGGGGGCACGACGGTGCCCATTCTGCAAATATTTTTTTTTTTCCTTTTTGTCTTTCTTACTGACTGGTAACGGGATCGCAACCCTCGGTGTAGCGCCCGTACCAGGGACTGGCAACAGGATCGCAAACCTCGGTGTTGCACCCGCACCTCGCTCAGCCAGTGAGCGGGAACCGGTCTCCACATGGGATCCGAACCCTCGGCGGGAGCACAATCGCGCTCCTAAGCAGCGCACTCTCCAGTGCGCCACCAGGCTGGCCCCATTCTGCAGATATTGAAACCAAGTCCTGAGAGGTCATGTGCTCAGACCAGCATCCCACAGCTAGTTCAAGCTCCGACGAGGGCTGTGCTACAAGCCCACAGCTACCAGGCCCCAGACACTTCACCAGCCTGGAGAAACGGGGACAAGGGGGCACAGCTGCATGGTAGAAAGATAGCCCAGAGGAAGGCTGCAGAGCCAGGGGTGGGGATGCAAGTAGAAGGGGTGGCCCGGCAGCAAGAACCGGCCTCAGGGTGAAGGAGGCAGCCCTGCACACACCAGGGGTGAAGATGGAGGTTCAGACAGCCCCTAGCCACTCATCCTGAAATCCCAAGCTGCCCTTCATGTGCCTCCCCCCTCTGTCCTCTGTCCCGCACCTTGGGCCCTCTGGATCCCCCAGCACAGCCTCCCAGAGCCCCTCTACCTTCAGCCCCTCCTTCAACCGCTCCCTTTGCTTTCCGCTCTGATGGAGCTTCTGGCTGCCTGGTCCCCCCCCTCCCTTTGCACCCCTGGGCCTGTCCTCCTGCCCCTTGTTGGGGCTTCCAGGTCATGTTCCCTCCCTGCTCCCTAAAAGTCTCCCAGTGCTGAATCTCCGTCCCCACGCCCCCTGCTTGCTGCAGGAGCCTCCTCACTGGACTCCCTGTCTGTCCTCTGCACAGGCCTCCCGCGCCACGCCCACCTGCCCCTCGGGCTCACCTCCCTGCAGTGCTGGGAGCACCTGGTGCACTCACGCCTCACAGCTCTGTACCTGCTGTCTGGCCGGCCCGCTCGTCCCTTGTCCCTCCGTCCCTCCGATGTTGGCATCACTCCGTCCCACACCCTCTTCAAGTCTTTGGTCAAGTGCTGTATTCACTCTGAGGTCCACTCTGACCACCTACTTAAAAATCGCCCCTGTACCCACCATTCCAATCTTCCTCTCCTGCTCTCTGTTTCTTTCTAGCACCGAGCACTTTATAATACTCTGTGGTAGACAGAATAATAGTCCCCAAGATGTCCACGTCCTGTTCCCCTGAACCTGTGAATTATGTGACTTTACCTGGCCAAAGGGATCTTGCAGGGCTGGCCGGTTCGCTCAGCTGGTTGGAGCATAGCCTTGTAACACCAAGGTCAAGGGTTCAGATCCCCAGACCTGCCAGCCGCCAAAAAAAGTAAATAAATAAATAATAATAAGTTTTTTTTAAAAAGGGATCTTGCCGGTGTGATTAAGTGAAGGCCCTTGAAATGGAAAAATTATCCTGGATTATCCAGTGGATCCTAATGTCATCACAAGGAGGAGGCAGGAGGGTCCGAGCTGGAGGAGGAGGAGACGTGAGGATGGAACCCGCCATCAGAGAGCGATTTGAAGGTGCTGCGCTGCTGGCCTTGCAGACAGAGGAAGGGGCCGTGAGCCAAGCAATGCAGGTGGCCTCTAAAAGCTGGAAGAGATGAGGAATGGACTCCCCCCAGAACCTCCAGAAGGAACCTCCCTGCTGGCACCTGAGCTTTAGCGCTTCTGATGTTCGGACCGTAAGAGAATGAGTGTGTGTTCTTGAAGCCACCGGGTCTGCGGTAGTTTACGGCAGCAGCAGGACACGAGCACAGACACTGCATCGGGCCTCATTTATTCTGTATAGTCTGTCTCCCCCACTAGCATGTCAGCTCTGTGGGGCAGGGGCCCTCCATCTCCCCCCTGCTGCTCCTCAGCACTTAGTGCAGTGCTGGCCCCGGGTTCCACGAGGATGTTAAACCTCGGGGCCTTTGCTCAGCCTGGTGTGGGCCTGGGGTGCCCTCCTGCCCCCCACCCCCACGCCCCTCTGGCTCCAGGCGCTTTCCTCTGCCCTGCCAGCCTGGGCATCGCCGCCTCCCTCGCCCCAGCCCTGAGACCAGTGGGCGACCTTTGCCTCTGAGCCTGTCTCTCCTGCCAACTCATGCTCTGCCTCAGGGAAGAGGCCTCATCTGACCCCCTCTGGCTCCTGGCCCAGGTCCCGGGGCACATCAGGTCCTGGGTGCACTGTCACCCTGGGGAGCCCTCAGACAGTAGTTCCTCTGGGGCCATTCACCCCTTGTGCACCCATAGGCGTGCTCTTTTCGGGAGCACCCTTGCTCAAGGGCCCCTCCTTCAGGAAGCCTTCCCTGACCACCCCTTTTCTCTGAGCTCCCACGGGGCCACTCTGCCCACTCGTGCACCTTCAGAAGGGCCAGCCTGCCCACAGGTGCCTTCCAGCCAGCACCCAGTGCCATGGGGCCTTCTCTCCCTGGCCCTGGGACAGAGCCCCTTTTGGTCCCCTCCTCCTGACCCCCACCCCATTGCCATCTGGGCTTCTGAGCGCTGGCCTTGGCCCTTGGATGTCTCCCTGCCAGCTGATGGTCCAGGCTGCTCTGACCATTGGTCCCAGCCCCATAATGAAGCTTCTGCCCAGGGAACGTCAGGACCAACCTGCATGTGCTCTTGGCCCCTGGAGGGACAAAACTGGGCCTACTCTTGGTGGTTATGTGTCCTTGGACGCACCACTCAACCCTCTGAGCCTCTGTTTCTTTATCTGTGAAGGTGGCAGCCCACAGGGGAGGGGGCATGCAAGACCTCAAGGAGGGTCAGGACCAGGACATCAGTGCCTGCCCGCCCAGGGGCTGAAGGTCTGATGGTTCTGTGTATCCCATACAAACCAGCACGCGGTACACTTCAGTGCCTGGGGTGCCTTCCATGTAGCAGGCACTCAGTGAAGGTGCTACTAGCAAGTGGCTGAATGACACCCACAATCCCAAGTCACATATATCTTTGGCTTAAAAATGCCCTCAGGTGGGCTGGCCCCGTGGCTCACTTGGGAGAGTGTGGTGCTGATAGCGCCGAGGCCGCGGGTTCGGATCCTATATAGGGATGGCCGGTGTGCTCACTGGCTGAGTGTGGTGCGGACCACAACGTGCCGAGGGTTGCGATCCCCTTACCCGTAAAAAAAAAAAAAAAAAAAATGCCCTCAGGTGTAAGACGCGCCACCAAGGAGAGCTCTTCAGGGAAACCTGGGTCACCCCTGCGTCCACCATGCACCTCTGTTGTAAGTGGCTTCCGCCGTTTGCAAGTGTCTGGGGGAAGGAGGCAAGGGCATAGAGGCACGACGTGGAGGCTCTTCCCTGCTGGGGCCCTCAGGACACTGTTCCCTGTGGGCCTGGGCCCAGTGGAACCTCCAGCTTCTCCAGGCCCCTTCCGGCTTGAGCCTAGCAGGGGCGCCACCTTGTGGCAGCCACTGACAGCGCGGCACAGGGGCCCGACAGAGGCTGCAGCCCCTGGCGCAGCTCACTGGGGCCCATCGTCACCCCTGACCCGGCAGGCTCCTTGCCCAGCAGCCTGGCAGCCGCGGGCACCACTTGGGGCCACATGGGCAGGGTCTTCTTTCCTAGCAGCCCTTTCTCCCATCCCCTGGGGACAGACGCTAGCCTGGGTTTGAACTTAGGCTCTGGGTTCTACCTGCTGGGTGACCTTAGCAAGTCTCTCCACTTCTCTGAGCCTCGGTTTCCCTACTTTGCAGGGTGGTGGGTGGGCCTCCTTCCTTCCATCCTGCCCCTCACTCATTCTGCAGCCATGCACAGCGGCGGGCAGCCATCAGACCTGGTCCCCAAAGACCTTCTTTTGAGCGAGAGAGACATGTGTGTGAGCCTCAAGCCCTCGTGCTCCGTGGGGGCGGGGGAGCTGGAGGGCGGGTCTGCCCCGTCCTGGAGAGCTGGGGGAGTCTCAGAGGAGGGGCTTTCAAGCTGAGGAAGGTTTCTGAGGGAGGGCAGGTGGGCAGAGGCCAGAGGGAGCAGGTCGTGGAGAGGTGACCACGTTCTGTATCTTTAAAGAGCTGCAGGCACAGACTCCAACCCGTGAGAGCCGCTAGGCGGGCCAAGCCCGGCAAAGCCATGGGGATCCAGCCCCTCACCCCAGTGTGCCACGACGTGGGACATGGAGTCACAGGAGATTATTCTCCAGCTTTCAGACTTATGTTGTTTTCCCTGTTGGGTCTTGGACTTACTTGGGACCAGTCACCCTCTCTTCTTGCCTGTTTCTTGCTTTTGGGATGGGAAATTTATCTACACCTGTCCCACCACTGTATTTTGGAAGCATGCTCTTGGACTTCCCAGCCTCCAGAACCTTGAGCCAAGTAAACTTCTATTGTTTGTAAATTATCGTCTCATTCTGTTATAGCAGCACAAAATGGCCTAAGACATTACCTAATATACTTTCTGTCCCAGGATCCCAGTCAGGACCCCACGTGACATTTAGTCATCACATCTGCTTGAGCTCCTCCTGGCTTTGAGGTGTAGGAGCCGAGGAAAGACTTCCCATTCACCCCTGAAGTTTCTCTGAAAAATTAAGTAGTAAACAGATTAATATTCAGAAAAGTCATAACAAAGTTTATTGTTTAACGTGCAGGGAGGGGAAATGCATGGGGCAGTCGTGAGAGAGTAATGTCCCAATTTTTCAGTGGGGTACAGGTGTTATATACCCTCTGCATGGGCAAAGGGGAGCTGGGGGCGCAGGAGTGAATGATTCTCAGGGGCACTCCGTGGGAGAACAGACAGTGGCCTGGGACAAAGTCTATTGGAGCCACAGAGCAGACAGTGACTGGTTAAACAATTCTCTTCTCAATACTGAATGGTACTGAAATAGAAGACAATGGTCTGTGACGAATGTCTGTCCAGGTGTGTTGCCAGGCTCCTGTCTTCCTTCCTGTGACAAGAGTGAAGTTAATGAAACTCAGGGCAAGGACCATGGGTGACTGTCTTCTTTGGCGGGTCCAGACATTAGGCAAATGAAGGACCAGCCTCATCCTGTGCTTCAGGGAGAGACAGAGGATCGAGAGATGTGGTGGGGTCAGAGGGACGCGGAGGCTGCTCCGTTGCTCCAGCAGGTCAACGCGCCGTATTCTGGAGTGGCCGCTTTCTGCTCCCCAGCAGTGCTGTGCTGGTCTGGGATTTTGTAGATGCCCCTCGACTGCACTCTGCCTGATGTTTTCTCAGAGTTAGACTGAAGTTACAGGTTTGGGGAGGAAGACTGCAGAGGCAAAGGGCTTCTCATCACAGCCTGCCAAGGCTGCGTGTCCTGCGCGTGGCTCGTCACCACTGCATGGACCTTGATCACCTGGCTCAGGTGTACCTGTCAGGCTTCTGCACTGAAGATTCCCCCTTTCCATTCTGTACTCCTTGGAAGGAAGTCAGGGCAGTGACATTTGTCTATTTAAAATTTATATATATATAAATCACCATGAGAAATTAATTTTATTTTATACTGCCAATATTTTCTTAGATTTACCCCCATATTTATGTATTGTGCTAAAATATACATAACGTAAAACTTACCATCTTACCATTCTGAGCGACATTAGGTACACTCAGATGGCTGCGTGACTGTCACTGCCATCCAGCTCCAGAAGTTTTTCTCATTTTGCAAAACTTGAACTTTGTCCCCATTGAACAATGACTCCCCGCTCCTCCCTCGCTCCAGCCCCCAGCATCCCCCATTCTACTTTTTGTCTCTGTGATTGTGACTACTCTAGGGACCTCGTCTAAGTGGAACCTCACAGGATTCATGCTTTTGTGACTGGCCCATTTCACTCAGCATAATGTCCTCCTGGTTCATCCATGTGCTAGCAGGTGTCAGAATCCCATTCCTTTTTATAGCCGAATAATATTCCATCGTATGGAGACAGCACGTTTTGTTTATCCGCTCACCTGTGGACGGACACTTTGCTGCTTTCTCCTTTTAGCTCTTGTGAATAATGCTGCTGTAATCATTGGTGTACAAGTATCTGTTTGAGCCCCAAAAGTCAATTCTTTGGGGCAAATACTAGGAGTGGAATTGCTGGGTCATGTGGTAACTCTATGTTTAACTCTTTGAGGAATGGCCCGACTGTTGTCCCCAGTGGCGGCACCATTTTACAACCCACCAGCAATGTAGGAGGGTTCCAGTTTCTCTACGTGTTACTTTCCGTTTATTATTATTATTATTATTATTATTATTATTATCTTTTTGCAACAAAAAATTTGCCTTTATTCAGAATCATAAGAGATTTTTTTAAATCTTACCATTATGGAAGTTTAAAAAAAGATAGCACTCAGTGCAATGAAACACTACGTTTAATTAGTATTTAAATACTTAGGCATTTTCTCAGTTACATGTGAGAATTTAGCTTGATCCAAACTCAAATATCCATTTCTCACATCTTTCCATGTCTGCAGCAGATACTGACTTAGAAACCTTTTTTAAAGCCATTTCAAAATCCTCCACAGTTGTAGGCGTGTGCATTTCTTCTCTTGAAAGTATTCTTATTTTTAAGAGGCTGTCCACCCTAATGGGGGTGAAGCGGTGTGATTTTTAAAATTTTTTTAAAGGAGATGTTTTGGACTGAATGCTTGTGTTCACCTCAGTTCATGTGCTGGAGCTCTCACCCCCACTGGGCTGGGGTTTGGAGATGATCACTCTGGGAGGTGACTGGGGTTAGACGGGGCCCTCCCCGTGGGATGAGTGCTCTTGTGAGAAGAGGGACCGAGTTGGCCGGCCCCTTGCCTTTAGACTTCCCAACCTCCAGAACTGTGAAAAAGTAAGTGTCTGTTGTTTAATCTCCCAGTCTGTGGAATTTTGTGACAGCAGCCAAGCCGGTTGAGACAGTAGGTTTCAAATGCAAAAGGTGCAAAAGGATGTCCCCTCGCCCCTGCCCCAGCCAGAGAAGTCCCTCGGGGGAGGGGACACCTAAACCAAAACCCCACAACGAGGCCGTCAGTCACGTGAGAAGAACATTCTAGGCAAAAGGCAGAGCCTGTGCAAAGGCCCTGAGGCAGGAAAGGCCACACTCCCACCTCTCGGCCAGTCACAGACTCGAGGAATGGGCAGGAAGGCAAGCAGGCCCCGGGGCAAAGCGTGTTCTGCTGGTCTGTCCCAAGAGAGGAACTTGTGTCAGATGCAAGCCCCCCAGTCCCCAGGCACCCTGCTTGGCTCAGATGACACATTTTCCCAGCAAGACGTTTAAAATGGAGGGAGCGGTGGGTCAATGTCCATTCTGGCCCAGGCCCCTTAACTGGCCACAGTCTGGTCCTTCGAGTAGCTCTCAGATGACACTGAACTCTGCTTGGAAGGAGGGAGGGGCGAGATGGTTGCTGGGGAGGCAGCCAGGGGCCTGCAATGGATGTCGCTACAGGTGTCACAGACTTCCGGGTGGTTAAGGAGGGCAGAGTCACATTTTTATTTATTTTATTTTATTTATTTATTTTTTGCAGCTGGCCGGTGCGGGGAGCCAAGCGCATGACCCCGGGGTTGTAAGGCTGTGCTCCAACCAACTGAGCTAACCAGCCAGCCAAGAGTTACATTTTTAAAAGATCACTCTGGCTGTCCCAGCCACATGGATCGAAGAGGGCAGAGCAGGGTCAGGGGGACCAGCTAGCACACTCCCTCTTTGTCAGGGTGGGGAGAGATGCTGACAGCCTGGCCCCAGGTGGTACTGCAGCGATGGAGACCCCCGTGTGCTGCATGGGTGGAGTCAACAGACCTGCTGCTGGACAGCAGGTGCGGCGGGAGGTGGTTGGCAGGGCCTACTGGACCAGGAAGGGGCCAGGCCCAGAGGCCATTCACAGCTCTTCTGGGGGCCACAAAGATCCATGGCCAGGAACCTGGACTGCCCCTCGACTCCCCTGCCTCCATCCAGCCAGTGAAAGGAAGCACTATTCATAACTCACCAGGACAACAGGCATACGCCAGGACTTTCCCGGGTGATCAGGACCTACCTATGGCCACCTCCGCTGGCCTCTGTCACTTACACCTTCACAGTGGGTCCTGGATCAACGTCACTCTCTCTTTATACACACCTCTTGGAAGGAAAGGTGTCAATGCCCTGAGTAAGCTGTGTCTGTACCTGCCACCAGCCTGGCCTGACCTCCGGCCACCGGGGGCCCTGCTGGTAATCCCCCACTGGCTGACCTCCCAGGCTCCTCCCTGGCCCTGCGGTGGGTCCTTTTCACTTCCTGAGGGCCACACATGGGAAGCCCACTGGATTTACACGGTAAAGTGCACGTGGGGGGTACCCTCCCAAAAGGAGGGGCAGCAAAGACGTGGGCGAGTCTGCCACAGGCACGCGCGGGGCCCTGTGTCTTGGGGAGGGGCGGGAGTGGGGCAGGCAGCCTGGGGCGTCGAGAATGTCTGAGGACCAGGGATGTGGTGGGCAGGGGCCTCAGCCCACCAGGAGCTCAGACCGGCCCCTCCGGCCAGGGCGGGCCTCCTCAGCCCCCAGCTCCGGCCACATCCTCAGAGATGAATGACCCCTTGGGGTCAGCACCACCCT